ATTCCATCAGCTTAAATTGCTCAAAGCGAAAATTATATATTGAATAGATGTACGTAGATATATGAAATTTGTAGAAATTGAAATATGCGAAACACTTATAAAAGCTATTCAAATATAATTCTAACACTAATTCACGCTTATTTCAGACGATAAAAAACTCCAGATTGTTATCCACAATGAGTTTTTAATATTTTTGTAACTGGTCGGAAGCGACAGCAGAGCAGAAAGTAAAGAAAAACCAAATGAGTTTTGGGTTTCATTTCAAGCCAAATAAAAACAAGTCAAATAAAATTTTATTGCGAATCTTTTTGTGCTGGCTCCTCAGCCGGCTGACGCAGACGAAAGACAGAGAGAGAGTGAGAGAGAGAGAGAGTGAGAGGGAGGAAGGGAATTTTCGGCCAGCCCTAAAGACCAAACATATACCGAAATGTAATCGCCGGCTATAAAAACAAAAGCAGCAAACAGAAAACTAATAATCGTGCGCGCCGATAAACACAGAAATTCAAGCGGGGCATCCAAAAGGGCCAACATACTTATACTTCAAAGGGCAGCTGCCCAGAAGAGGAAGAGAGTGGGAGAGAGAGGCGAGAGAGTGAGAAAGTGGCCGAGCAAGCCAGAAAAATGCTTCATATTGCGTGGAAGAGGCGAACGAACTTAACGATAAAGTTAAACCGCGATAACCAGCATGACAAAGGATAATGTACAACATGCGCAAGGACATTGCCGATTAGCCGTAGCCATAGCCAGTTGAGGCGTATGAAGTAAGCAATGCTTGGACGGGGAGGGGTGGATAGAGAAATGCTTACGATAGCGTGTAAAATTAAATTTTATTGTAATGCCCCCTCAGACCCTCAGAGCCAGCGGACAAATGTGTTTTTCCTATTGGGGACTTTCTTTACGCTCACAAATATTGCGCACATTGTTTGTAGTTTCTTTTTCTCTCATCTCAGACGATAGGTGGTTGGGGCAGCATGAGGGGGTGCATTGCTCTAGGTATAGGGGTTGACACATTCAAGTCTTCGATGGCTTGCATTTTTATAACAGTTGGCTGAGCAAATTAGTTTAGCGCTGGTTACGGCTGCTAAGTAACCGCAGAGCTCTCCGCGGACCCATTGAGAGTAAGAAATGAAAGTACTTGAGAATTGGTTTCAACAAGGCTAACAATAGACACCCCAAGCTAAATATATGATTTGAGTTTGTAAGACCTTTAAATAACAGAAATATTACGATGGTGCAGAGGCATTTTTGCGAGATCTAATAAATTGTAATTATATTATGGTTTTTATGGATATTATGAATGATTTCATGAATTCCAAGACTTTTAATTAAATTTGTAATCTAGTATTTCAAGAATTAATTAATGAATGTTATTTTATAATAAATTAAAATATAAAAATCTAATATTTAAAGAATTAATTCATTAATGGTTAATTAAATAATTGTTTTTTAATCTAATGTAAAAAAATATAAGTTCATTTATATGAAAAGAAATCTTGAGCATGAATTCTTTTGCTATACCATTCGGTCTATTGAAACCAAACATTTTGTTTTTCCTTTCAGCCAGTATCAAAACTCTTCAAATAAGTCTGAGACAAATCGATTTGGCCATCGAAGTTGCTTCATATCCATTTTTCTAATCCAAAACTTTTCCTAATTGCACTTTGTTAGCCAAACGTCAGAAACATGGTGCAGGCCACTCAACATTAATTAGCCTCAATGCGAACTTTAACTCATTAATGAGGCAGCCAAACAAACTCCTGTCGAGGACATACCTGAACCTTCAGTTCTGCCTCCCTCACCCGCTCCCCCCCCACGCCAGCTGTGGCCAATCGCAGATGTGTCTTATACACTGCCGCAGCTATTGCCACTTTTTGTTGGCCAGTCTCGGCTGACGTACGTGTCAAATTAGCGACGTTTTAACAAGCTCAGCGCGTCCGTAAGTCGTCAGGCCGTCCTTGTCCCGGGTGCTGCATGATAGCTAGGACGCGTCCTTCGACCGGCTCTGCCGGCAAATCAATCACATGGAAGTGGCTAGCGCCAAAGTTTGAGAAACTACGTCAAATTGCCTACTTTTGTAATCGTCGACGTTGCTCGCGCTGTTGACTTTAGCCGCTCGTCCTCAGCTAGTCCTGGCATGTCCTGTAGTTTTTGGGCGCTGTCGTCGTGTAGCACGCTGATTGCTTTTTCATTGCATTTTGTCAGCCGTTCCGTCCGTCCGTCCTGTCCTGTCCTGTCCTGTCTTTGTCCAAAGCAAAGTTTTCTTTTGCTACCTGCGCGGCGTTTTCCAGCTCAATGGCTGCTCGACGCGGGGGCGGTGCGGTACGGCAGCTACGTAGAAAACATATCGTCAGCAATTAAGCGCGCATTCAAACGTCTGTCTGGGCTGCTCGGTTTTGCTGTTGTTGTTGTTGTTTTTTCTTTTCTTTTCGATTTGTTGCCAGCGGATGCTTAAAATCAAAATGCGATTTATCAGTTTTTTTCTTATTCTGCAACCGCTTTCGGTTTGCCGCCCCACCCCACTCCTTTGGGGCGGGAGCCTTGGGACGATACGTTATGAGGGCTTAAAATTTTGCAATTTTCTCAGTTTTTATTTGAAGCGCCATTTATCAAAGCTGTGCAGCTGTTTGCTAGTTTATGACAGCTAATCCTTGAATACTATATCTTAAAGATATTGCCTTCAGCTTTATCTACCTACACACAGACACACACCCAGACACACATACACCAGCTGCTGCTACTGCTGCTGCTGCTGCTGCTGCTGCAGTGGATCTGTGCGGGCTTTTGTTCTATATGCTGGCTGCTGCCAGTTCGATTTGCCATTTGGCAGTTTCGTAAACGTTTTACAAATTGATTTATGTGCTTAACATGTTGCCATGTTTGTAACCCTCGAACAAGCCCCGCCAAACGTCTCTCACAATTAGATTTCGCTTCAAAATCAACGGGAAAACTTTTCGGCAAGCCTCACCCAAAAGACAACCAGACAGAGAGAGAGAGAGAGAGAGAGAGAGAGAGAGAGAGAGAGAGAGAGAGAGAAAGGGTCTATGGTGGACGGCCTGGCACATCAATCATCGATAAATGTCGATATGTCGGACCGTAAGGCCTGGTGCGTGTTTTTGCCTTCACTTCTTGGCCTTTTCGGGCGCTTTTATTTTTATTAATAAAGCATTTGTTTTCCCATAATGAGCAGCGACAGCCGCCTGTCAGGATGCCTTTCGCATTTTCTTGTCTACATTGTCCGTTTTCTTGCAGCCGCATCAAATTTTCAACGTAGACGAAAATCTTTCCCCAGGGCCAGCTTGGCCTGTGGGCGTAACAGTGCCTTGCGGCGGCATTCGCATAAAAAAGTGCCAACACTTTGTCAAGTTGTTATTACCAATAATATATATATACATATATATATATATATACACATACATATATATTTTATACACGTATATATTTCATTGTTTTTGCTATTTTTCTTTTGCCTGGTTTTTGTTTATGTACTTTGCTGTCTTGCGCTATTGCCATTCGCCTTTATTATGCGGCTTCTGGCACTCATTTTGTGTTTGTCATGATTGATGAGCGAGAGTCTAACGAATTGTGGGGCCTCCGCCTGTGGGCGGAACGTATTGATTGGGTTAGTGGGCGTAAACTGGGCGGCACAAGTGATCTCTACTCAGATAGTTAACAAATGGACTGTATCTACTTTTAAATTTTTCATTTTTTACATTTAGCTCTAAAAGGAAGATTTGCACTGAGCGAAAAAATTGGTTATTTCGTGAACTCAAATTTAAATTCAATTAATTATGCTTAGTTTAAAAAAATCCTGCAATTTATTTTGCAATCATTAAATATTATTTCCAGCTATACATCTTTTATAAAATCAGATAATTTTTATATTCAATTTTTATTGGCTTTATTTTATATTTTGTTTAATATACTATGAATATTTTTAATAAATTATGGATGTACCACAGCACTCTTAGTTTAAAAAAATCCTGCAATTTATACTGAAATTATTAAATATTATTTCCAGCTATACATCTTTTATAAAATCAGATAATTTGAATATTCAATTTTTATTGGCTTTATTTTATATTTTGTTAATCTGCTATGAATATTTTTTATAAATTTTGGATGTGCCACAGCTTCACTTCTGTTATTTCTAGAAATTTCTTGAGGACTACAAATAAGCCTCTATTTTCAAAAAAAAAAAAAATCGCATGCCCATTTAGCTAATCAAATTTGATTTTCGTTTAGCGCCATTCCACAAGGAAAGAGAAAATAGACCAAGAAAGCATTTTTGGTCGCCGGCTTTTAGGCAGCTGTGCGACGTCATTTGCTAGCAAAGTGGCTTCTGTCAGCGACATAAATTCAATAAAAATAATAATAAAAATATTTACAAGCATTAACACGCGTTCAGCGCGTAAAATGTGCCTCAAACTGACAACTCGCAGCTCAAACACAAATCTTGAGCCGCAAAACGGCAAAATATTGACAGCAAAATGGCGCACAAGCATAAATAGTGTATGTGTGTGTGTGTGTGGGCATGTATTTGTGATGCACAGACAGAGGGTTGACAGTGTCACACACCCGCTTAATGCCAATGCCAGTGCCAATGAAATTTGCCACATTTTGCATATGGAATATGGAGGGTAGCGAAATGCTTGAAAGTATGCAGCAGCAGGAGCATCATCAGCGCGAGTTATAGTGGAGCAAGGGGGGATGACAGGCAGTGGAACAGGAATGAGACGAAACATTTTGATGATGGGACGCAGCATGTGCGAGTGTCGTTAAAGCCTCGCAGCAATTTTTGGCAATTTTTCGCAATTCTTTTTTTTTTTTTTTTTTTTTTTTTTGGGCGTGGAACATTTATTTAATTTTTTTTTTTTTTTTTTTTTGCTGTTGTATTATATGAGAACTAATGGCGAAAATATTATCACGCGCCATTTTGAAGGCAATTTCACGCATACGAGCGCTTATTTATTTGAAGTGCTTGTAATCGCGGTGGTACTTACAGCGCACGCTGAGGTAATAGCCAATCGAGGAGTATTGAAAGTTCAGATGCCGGGATGTGCACTTATACCAGCCGGAATGCTCCCGTCGAATGGAGGTAAAGTTGAGAAAACCATCGCCAGTTTGTGGTACCTGCGAACAAAAGAGATAGGAGATGCGAGAATAAGAATGAGAGCTGAGTGAGTGAGTGAGTGAGTGAAAAATTGAGACAGATTTGGCTGGGAGATGGGCGGGGAAATGAGTTTCGTTCGGTCTTATGCGTAAACAATTTTTGGTAATTAAGGCAAGGCAAATAGTTGGTCCAAGAACTTTTTACGCGACAACTGCACGAAAATCCATTTAAAACTTGCTCCTTGCTCAAAAATCACAAAAGTGCTCGCAAAATCCAAATGCAAGGGGAGGATGCTGAGCCAAGGACGGAGAGCCTACGTATGCATAAGTTTTATAAGACTTACCGGCGTGTCACCGTCGTCCTTCTGCCAGCGCGGCGTGCTCGGAGGATTTGAGTCGACATCGCACTTGAGGCTAACTTCGATGCCCTCGCGCAGCGGATAACCAAAGCCAGGTGTGCGCGAGATGGCAAACGAGGGCGTATCTGCAAAGAGGGGAGGGGAGCGGTTGAGACAAGGGTTATAAGAATGGATATAAAACACAGATACGATGAGATTTTCGGTTAGTTATTTTCCTGTCTACCGTCTGCCGTCTGCCCTCTGCCGTCTGCCGTCGCCTGGCAACTGCCAACTCGCAACTGGCAACTAGCGACTGGCGACTGGCGACTGTGGCAACATCTACAAAATAGTTTTTTAATTAAAAAATTACGACACAAAAATAAACGCCAGCAGAAAGAAACTTTTATAATTAAACTAAATGCAAATGTGTGTTGTCTCTTCTTTTCTATTTTTTTTATTTCTACTCTCCCCGTATGCTCTTCAGCATTCACCACAAAAATAAGGCACTTTGTTTGAGTCTAGCGAAAAACATCTTGCCAAATTGCATGCCGGCAAAAATAATTAAGTGACAATAATAATGGAAGCTATAAACTGAACATAATATTTACTTAATATTTTGTATGAGTTTGTCAAGAATACATTTTAAAATAGAAATGGGAAAGTGGATAGCAATTGCAAAGAATTCAAGTCAGTATTATTAATATCAATAATCATAAAACCAAAGCAAATATACAATGATAAAATATTTAAATACAACTTAACAGCGATATATCGTCTGCTTGGAAAAACATAACTAACATAAATAAATAATTTTAGGTGAACAAATATTTATTGTAAATTAAAAAATATAATAACGATTTTTATTAAAAATTTAATTTATTGCAAATTCTCTCTTTTTTTTTTTTTTTTAATATATTATGTCTTATTATATTATTCATACATATACACTAAAAGCTTTCATTTTTAATAACCCATATAATTCTATAGTGCTTATATTTTTTAAATTTAAATACCTATTGTAAAATAAAATATCTTAAAATGATTTAATATGAAAGACTCATATTTTTGTATCATATTTTAAATCTTATTATTTATTAAAAATTTATATTTTCGTAATTTTAATTTTTTAATAAATAATAAATAAATATATACATATGTATATCTTTAAAAAATTAATTTTTTTTATTTTCATTTTCGTATATTATTTTCAAATACTTTAAAAATATAAATATTTATGTAAATAAATAAGTAATAAAAATTAAATATTAATAATTCACATTTTCGTGTATTCAATTTAGTATTTTAATTATTAATAATTTAAATTTTCATATATTTATTTCAAATATATTTTCTTTATTTTTATTACATTTTTAACTACACAAATTTTTAACTTCATTATTGATTTAAATGCTCACAATTCCTAAAAGGTTTATTCAACACGATAATGCACAAAAAATGTCTAGTAAATTGTTTGGCAACAATATTAAAAGTCGCTTGAGTTTCTTATGCCAGATGGGATTATTTAACATGTTAGACGAATGCGATATGCTATTAAATCTAACTCCATTTGGGTGCCAATCAAAAATCTATTGAATGCATGTCAAAAAGCTATCGACAAAATGCAAATCTCAATGCAAATGTGAATGCGAATGTAAATGCGAATGTAAATGTAAATAATATGAATGTTTGGCAAAGTGACACGCCCACAGATGTGCATATATTTTTATACATATATATACATTTGTATCTTGTTGCATTCAATGCATATTCATAGGCATAAATCAAATGTTTTTTAATTAGTGTTAGACATACGGAGCTGTTGCCCAAAAAAATAGAAAAACAAAATAAGAAAAATACGGAAAATGTTACAAAATCTGAATACAACGATTTCAATCTTTTCAATTTTTCGCCACAGCTCTCTGTCTCCCTCTCTCTCTCTGTCGCCCTCCCTTTTGCTGTCTGCCTGCCTGCTCCAGCTCTGTCCATTGTGGGCTTTTGTAACTAATACAATTTGATTATGCAGGGCAAATGAAATTTGTTTGTCGGTTGTTTGCCAAACTATTCAATAGACATTCATCTGAGTTGTGTAGTCTCTGTGTGTGTGTGTGTGTGTAGGCGTAACATGCAGACGGACAGTTGTCAGACATCATACATATATGTATATGAAAGGACGTCTGCCTGTGGACACTCAACGACGCCCGTTTGCCTTTTATGCGGCTAACCGAGCAGACGAGTGAGATAGAGGGAGAGTGAGAGTGAGAGGGAGTGAGAGATAGAACTGGCGGGGTTCACAGGTCCTTGTCTGGTTAGCCCCCTGCCGTTCTGGGCTTTCGTCTATCAATTTGTTTGGGCAAAAATCTAAGCCACAAACTCAAAAAAAAAAAAAAAAAAAGCACAAAAATTGTTGTGCTCTTCTAACTATGCATAACAGGCAATTCCAGCAAACGCTTTTTGCTGAATTTCACCAAAAATCATATAGGAATATATGCACAAAATTATTTATAATTTATTTATTTTTTTTTTTATAATTTATTTATTAAGGATATTAACAAAAATATAGTCAACTTAGAGAAAAAATAATTTAAAAAATAAAAATAAATATATATATAGCCTAAGGATAATATATTTAGACCAGCCTATTGTCATTTGGTGTTTTACATTGCCGGAATGTTGGCATTAAATTGCTTGAATGTTGAATTTAATTTGTGAAATTGTTTTTAAATTGCGCAAGCATTTAAGGCTCGTCTCGTTGACTGTACGATTGATGTCCTTGATTTGCCTGTCAACTGTCTGCATAAAAATGTAAAAATTAAATGCAACAACAACAACAACAACAGCAGCAACAACAACAACAACAATACAATCCTCAACTGTCTGAGCAAGTGCTTTCATGTGTGTGCATTTTAATTTATACAACCGTAACAAACAATAACATTCATGGGCGGGGCGAATTGGTGTGTGGGCGTGGGCTTGGGCTTGGGCTTGGGCTTGGGGAAAAAAGCAGGAACTGTTCTCAGTTGTTCTTTGTTGGAAAACGTTGCGGTTGGGCCGCTGCTGTTATTGTTGTAGGCCTTTTGCTGTTGTTATTGCGGTTTTTGCAATTTTCATGCCTGGCCAAAGCTCCCACACACACACACACACACATATCCATCGAGCGTAGTCAGATTCCACATTCCCATGCCAAAACTTAGTGATGCAAAACCCGCACGGCTTTTCTATATTTTCCAATCATTTCCACTCCTGCTCGCCCCTTCTATGGCCACCTTGGCATTTGTCATGGCATTATGCGGCTTGACGGGCATTAATAAAGCAAATAACTGTGGCACTTTGTTCCAGGCTGATCCCGTCCAGTATCGGCTACCAATTTGAGCACGTGTCTGCGGCTTTGTTACTGCCAATTAGTGCGAGTCCTTCTAATTGCTGCTGCTGTGGATGGACGCAGTCATTGATTTTGATTTGCAGCTCGTGTTGATGGCGGCATAAAGTCACGTGGCTGCTGATAGATGGCTGACAATGGCCAGTCTTGCTCTCTCTCTGTGTGTGTTAACTTCTTAAGCGGACTGTTACTTTGATCACTCAAAAGGATTATTTGTTTCTCTTTGTCCTGGACAAATAAAATTGTTATGCAAAACTATGCCAAATTAGAGCAGTAGCAGTGGAGTAGACGGCAGAGCGTCCTGTTTGCATAACGAGTCTCCTTTGGCATTTGCTTGAAACATGCGTCTGTCCTAACCTTGAAAGCAACGTAATTTTTGTTGCTTTGTTTGCTCTTTAAATTGATTAAAATTCTTTTGCACTTATTGAATTCTATTTGATTCATTATATTGCTATTCATAAAACATATTTTGCAGTACCTTTGCTGTCTGACTTTTAAGTGCTAATCAAGTTGTTTAAAAATTTCTTCTGGACTTTGGCTGCGAAGTTTGCCTCTGCCTGGCCGAATGGCAGTTAATTAAAAACTTTGTCAAAGCTCTTACTTCTGATTTCTCTGTGCCAGCAGTGCTTGTTTCTTTAGCCGCTCTTGTTGACATATCCCTCTCCTCGTATAAAGCCTTGTCCCATTTCCATTATTTTATTTTTATTTTATTCTCTTTTTTTTCTGTAGTCCGTCCTTCTGCACTTTCCATTAAATAATTTCACATTTGCTTTCTTTTATTGCTGCAGCTGCAGCTGCATAATAATTTCTTTGCCTTTGTTTTTCTTTGCTCATCGCCGACCTGTGACTCCACATAGCTGGCCCCAACTGCAGCTGCCTCTGCCTTCACCGCCTGCTGCCCAGCCCTCCATCAGCCATGATATTATCCTTTAGCCACGCCCAGGCCGTTGCGTAGCTCGTGGCGTGTGTTAACTTTAGCAATTTAACTTTTTAATCAACATTTGCTTTTTGGTTTTCACTTTTACTTGTCGCACTCGCACCACCAGCCCCACCTGCCCCACCTGCCCCACTTCTGCCTCACTCTCACTATCGCTGACTGTGTTAATTAAACAAGGTGCGATATTCCTCTTGTTGGGACTATATAAAAAACTTTTTCAACATTGAAATATGATGCGAAATGAGTGCATGACTTACTAACTGACTGACTGACTGATTGACTGACTGACATTGCTCACACAAACGAAAACTGATATGTGCAATTAGCTCTTTTCACATTCAGCAGTTAGGTAAATAAAGTTTTTTATAAAATGCTTTTTAGTTCTCTTTTGTTGCATAAACTTTGAGCATATCTTTAAATAACTTTATATGCATATGTTAAATTGTTGAGCTGAATGATGGCTTTTAGATAGTTAAAAAGGTAGTAAACCCATAGTTGGTTAGATTTACTTGACTTTACCTAAAACACAACTTTATCTAATAGAAGCAGCCTTACAACTTATCTAAAATGCCGAATAAACGTTGAGCATATCTTTAGCTAAATTTATATGCATATAAATTTTTTATTATTATTATTATTAATATGTTTTCAAAACGATAGTTGGTTTGTTTAATCAAACGTTAGTTTAATCAATTAAATATCTAACATTTTAAGACTTTCTGAATATTCCAAAGGAATACGTGAGCTTAGCTGTTAGTTGTTTTGCATTTACAAGGAAAGGAAAATATAATAAAATTTATTTTAATATTTTTTATCAATTAATTTATATAAACTCCAGTTAATTAAAATAACAAAAATTAAATTCAAGTAAACTCGTTCAACTTCAGATAATTTTGCCAACTCAATGTTCAACTGGTACTATTTGCCATATTTCTAGTAAAATTACTCAGATTACTTGATTAAAATTATTATATTCCCACTTACACTGCACATCCAGGAGTAGCGAGGCATTCTGGCGTATCTTCAGTGTGGGATGCTCCATGACACATAAAATCCTTGCATTGTGATGGGCCCTGTAGACAGCGGGCAGACGCGCCTCGCTCTTGGCGCCGCTGTTGATTTTGTAGCCGTTCTTATCCTGTGCGAGTAGATAGAGCAAATTGGTTGGTTGCTTTGATAAAAATTCCATTAGAATATAAGGCTTAGGCCGGGACAAATTGGGCGAAATGACAAGGCAGTCAGGCTGGCCAATTAGTCTGGGCCTGTTATCAGCGCGACATCATTAATTTAAATTAAAGCGTCAGAACAGGGACAGGGACAGGAGCAAGAGCAAGGGCAAGGGCACTGCCTACGCCTACTGCTGGCAGTTCGTCCTGCTGCCTTCAGCCGCACCCACCGCGCGCCTTGACATGCAAATTTGTTGGCACAGTTTTCAATCAATCATCCGGAGCGACTGTAGTTGGGCACCAAGCAGACCAAACACGCAAATTTGTGGCATTTAGGGTCTACGACAAACAAACATGCACACCCACACACCCACACACACTCATAGAAAACTCTTAACACACACACACACACACGTATACAATAAACACTCGTGTCGACATCTTCGATGTGTTTGACAGGTGGCTGCGGGTGGTGGGTGGTGCGTGTTGGGTGGTGGTGCAGCTCGGGTGTTTTGAATGGTTGGATGGTTTATGCAGCGCTTGACCAAATGTCTGCTTTTCATTATGCTCGAGTGCAAGACAAACAAATTTGGCGTAACCGCAGCCAAGTGTCCGTCCGGAGATCCGTTGTTTAAGCCGTAGCCAGAAAAGCCACCGTTATCCACACTTCATGTGTTTGCTGTCTCTCTATCTCACCCCCTCCCTCCCACTCTCTCTCTCTATCTCTATATGTATATATATATATATCTGGCAGCTCTTATGTCTGCATAGCTTGCGGTTGCGCCTGGTTTGCATTAAGACGACAATCCAATATGTCAAAGTGTCAGCCAAACGCATCGCCACTCCATTTCTCTAATGGAATGCTGAAGCTGGCTGAAGCCGGCTGAAGCTGCCTGTAGCTGGCACTAACCTTCTCGTTCTTGATCTCCTCCAGCTCCAGCACCTCGGCGGACACCTTCTGGGCATGCCGATCCACGCCGGGACTGAGCAGCACCTCCCAGGTGAGCGTGGGCCGCGGGTTGCCGCCCTCGCTGACGCAGGCCAAATTCAGCTCCGAGTTCTCTTTGACTGGCACAAAGATGTTGCCCGCATCCAGGCGACGCGAATCTATCAGCAAATACGGTGGCTTCGGGCGATCTGCAAATAATAATTATTTAAAATTAGAAAAGTTTATTTTGGGTATTTAATATAATATTATTAATATTATTAAGCTATTCCACTACTATCATCTATGCTTCTCTGTTTATATAAAAATAATATACATTCTGATACAACAATATTTAATATATAACATTTAATTTAACTCTGGAGCAACAGCTGCTATGAATTAATATGGCTTAAGAATATTCTAATTCAAAAAAAAATTATAAATAATAAATAAATAAATAACAGCAGTTTAGCTATTTCTCATTATAATATATACTTCTCTGTTCATTTTTATAAATTAATAATAAAATTAGAAGATTGTTTTATAAGTAAATCAAATCACAAAATAATTAAATATAATTAAAGATATTCTGAATTAAAATTATGAAAACTTCAGTGAATTATAAAAGTATAAATTAGTATTGTAAATAAAAATAATAATATAACTAAGTGAAGTATTTATGATTTATAATTAAATGTATCGTAAAATTAAATAATATAATAATATAATAATAATAAATAAATTATACATTTTTTATGTAAGTAAATAAAATAACAAAAAATGAAATAATTAAAATATTATTACAATAATTAATTTAAAAAATAAATAATATTTAAGTAACGAATACTCAGTTGTTTTAGAATTTAGAATACCCTAGTAATTCAGCATTTAAATTTATTATTATATAAATATTTAATGTACGAAAGTGCCTCCCAAGTACTACGCTATCAAAATGTAAACTCAGAGACTTTCGGAATTTCAGCAGAGGTAAAGCACGTGCTAAGCCTCGACGACTTTTGACTAAGCTGACACGCATATAACGGGCGCGTTTCGCAGCTTCTGTCACTTGCAGCTAGCTTAGCGCGCGCACAACTGTACTTGCGAATTGGCTAATCGGGAAAGTTTTTCTTTTCTCGAGTTGGCTCATTGCCCGACTGCTCATGTGCCACGGACTGGCCAATTTCGCAAATGTAACGACCTTTTTAATATTTGTCTAAACTTTTCTATGCGCCAGGAGGATCTGCGGCTGTTTGCCTCGGTCTACTCACCCAGGACGACCAGCTTGACGGGCCGAGCATTTTCCGTATAGCGTCGCGTATTCTCCGCCTCACACTGCCATTTGCCGTCATCCTCGAGCATGACATTGGTGATGGTTAGCGCTCCATTAGCCTCCTTGATAAAGCGATAGTCGGTGACGCGCGTCGTGCGGTCCATGGCATGCACCACCTGCGGACAAAGATAGAGACAGAGAGTGGGTGAGTGGGTGGGTGAGTGGGCTTTGTGGCATTAAATGTAATGTCTACTGAGTTGCAGCAGTCAGTGAGGAAATTATGCAAATGCCTTTGGCCAACTCTTAATGCAACATTCACAAATTTTATGATAAATTCAATGATCCTATCGCACCACCATCCACTTATACAGCTGCCTTTCACTAGCCATGTGTGTGTGTGTGTGTGCAATGGGTTTTTCACTCGTAATATTTTAATACGAGGCAGCTTTTATTTACACTTTTATTACGATTCACTTCAAACAAACGAAAATAATGATAATTTAAATGCGCTTGAGCGGCGCCCCAGCAAATCCACTGAGTACAGTTACTGTAATGTGGCAACAATGAACTCGAACTGGCTTACAAAAATGTGGAAAACAAGAATGGACGTTAAATTGCGGCCAATAGTTGTACTGCCCGTCTGTCTGTCTGCCCGTCTGTCTGTCTGCCCGGACTGGGCTTAATGTTCAGTGAAATTTATGTGCGCATTCAAATGCTATACAAAAATATGAAAAATATTCGTAAATATGGCGGTAAGTGCGGTGCGTGCATATTGGGGGCGTGGCAGCATTTTCTGTTCAGCGTTCATAAATAATTTTAATTGCATTTGTGCGCCAGAGCTTAACCTTTGGCCACGCATTAAGCTGACTTAAATTACTGATGGGCTGACCATATCCTTAAAGTTCTCTTATTCACAATATTTGTATGAAAATAAATTTGTAAATATCCTTAATGTATTTTTGGTCTAAAGCTATTATCAAAATTTAACATGGAGTTAAATTTTCCAGTATTTATATGCGCAGGAATTTAGTTTGATGTTTATTGTAGATTTCTTTGAAATATTTATATATATTTAGTCATCAATCATACATATATATGTATACATAACATACATCTCGCCATTGCTAGTGTAGCTGCAAATGGATCGCAGCTTAGCAGTCGACTTTCACAAAAAAAAATAAATAAATAAATGTATAAAAAATAAAAAAATAAATAAATAAAATAAAATAAAAAAATAATAAAAATAAAAATTTAAATTAAAAAAAATAAAACAGAAATATCTGTGCAAATTCTATAGCGAAAAGTACTCGACTAACAAATACTCAGTATAAAAATGTTTTTATTCGTTAGGCTTTATTTATTTATTTTTCTTGTATTATTTTTTATTTTATTCTTGTCGTAAAAGCTTTATTTATTTTTGTATTATTATTATTATTATTTTTTTTTTTTACTTTTTCTTTAATATACAATAATTTATCTAGTTTTCAAATACTTTCCATGGAAAAGCATATGCCTCAAACTGATTCTCCCTAAAATTAAAAACAAAAATGTAAATACAAAACATAAAAACCAAATATTTTTGCAACAAATTCTGATGTTTTACTACGTAATACGCACAGCTTGTCGCACATATAGCAGAAAAACAAAAACAAAATACAATATATATATGTATATATTGCATATTCGCTGTGTGTGGAATAAATCTGTGTAAAATGTAGTATAAACAAAATATTTGTATTCCGCACTTCCGTTTCCGTTGCGTGCGAGTTTCAATTATTTGTTAGAACCCTTTGCTCTGCCAGTTACTGATTTTGTATATATATATATATATATTTTTTTTTTTTTTTATAAATTTTTGAAAAGCAGTGCAAATATTTATGCGTGCCTGGATTTTAGCAATTTTTTCTTGCTGACTTGGCAGCGCGTTTTGTCGTCCTATCTGCGTGTGTGTGTGTGTGTATCTCGGCTTCCGCTGAGCATTTGCTGCAGTCGCCGCGGCGGCCATTTCAGAAATTTATTAACCAGCGGCCGACGCTAGACGCAACGCATCGCATCGCATCGCATCGCAACTGGCAACTGGATTTTCAGACTGTGCAGCGGCGCATTCAGTTGGAAATTTATGAGGTAACATGGCACAGAGATGCCAGTTTTGGCGACTGCACACCTGCAGCACACACACACTCTCTCTCTGTCTCCCTCTCTCTGTGTGTGTGTGTGTGCGTGCGAGAGATTTTGGTTGGGCAACATGGCCGCTAGACAAAAGCGTTAAATGAGCGTGGCAAATCCTTGTTTACAGCGTCGAGCGGCCAGCGGATTACACGCTCGATTGTTTTGGCCACCCGAGCCGGACCAGGTCCAGGTCCAGGTCCACGTCCACGTCCCACGGCCCAAAGCTGGCAGCCAGTTTGCTGGCCATTGTTGTGGCATTAAATCTCACGCATGCGACGGCCTCGCAGCGATCTGTTTTCTGGTAATTATGATTTTTCGCCTTTTCGTCTGCCCCATTGTTGTTGCAGTTCTGTTTTATCATTTTTTGTTTTTGTTTTTTCCTGTTCGCCTTTGTTTTGCAGCTGCCTCAATTCGCATAAATTGTTGCATATTTGAAGGCGCATTTGAGTTTAACATGCGCATAACTTTGCATAATTTGTGGCATCGTTATCTGGCGACTGCCATTTTTGGCTTTCTGTTTGGGTTTGGGTTCTGGTTACGTGTCTATTGCAGATGGTGACAGAGCCAAAACTAAATGGCATTTCTTTTTTTTTTTTTTTTTTTGCGTCTGTTTTCTGTTGGGCTGGTCTTTTTGACAGTTATTATGCATTTGTTTTTGGTATTTCCTAATTGCGTTGTTTTAATTTTTGTCCATTTGTAATTTACAATCTACAATTTAAAATTTACATTTGCCGTGAGATTTTGTTGCGCAATATTTATTTATGGCTCTGTACAATAATGCAAATTTCTGTTTAGCTAGTTGTATGATTTCATTATTTCACGCTTTCCATATATAAAATTAATTTTATATGTATATATATTTATACATCAGGCATTACAAGTTGCGTTTCGCTCGAATTGTGTGCACGAAATAGTATTTGCTGTTAGTTATAAACATGGATTTTACGCATGACTTTTCACAAAATTTTAACATATTCATAACATTTTGTAATTAATTTTGAAAACAATATAACGTGTTCATATTTATACTTATATTTTATATTTTATTTTTCATATTTAATATTCTATTTTTTTTTTTATTTTCCTTTTTTTTTCATATTTTACATGTTATATTTTATATTTTATTACTTATTATTTAAATCTTATACTTAATATTTTTTTTATTTTACATTTTACGTTTTATATTTTATATTTTATATTTTATATTTTATATTTTATATATTATATTTTATATTTTATATTTTATATTTTATATTTTATATTTTATATTTTATATTTTATATTTTATATTTTATATTTTATATTTTATATTTTATATTTTATATTTTATATTTTATATTTTATATTTTATATTTTGTATTTTATATTTTATATTTTATAATTTATACTTTATATCTAATATATTATTCAAAAATTATTTCGGATGTGGTTTTAATGGCCATAATTAGTAAAGCCGAAGATACCAAGCCTCCAGTTGCTAAAGTTTCATTCAATCTACTTCATGAAGCAGACAGTCAGCAGAGAGTAGAAAGGAAGTCGAAAAATGACTACATATATGTAACACTCTAATTCTCTTCCTCTCTAGTGGCTCTGTTGCTATCTCACTTTGACTATCTCTCTCTGTCTTGCTTGGAATTGCAAAAATCTTGTCAGCAAACATTACTCGCTGCTTGTCGCTGGCGCTGCCTTTGCTGTTGCCCCAAAGCTACTAACTTGAAATTGCTTTCGGCAAATATATTAGCCTCTTGATAATTTTCAACAATAAATTCTTTGGCACACACACTCACACACAGGCACACACACATGCTGCGGTGCGCGGGGGAATGGGGAGTTTGGCAGCCACTCAAAGTAGCTAAGGCTAGCTGCATGACTGCATAGGGACCTCCAATGGATTGTGCAGCGCTCCAGAAAGTACAACAAAAGTCGCTCATGTTGCAAGCTGTCAGTGCAACACTTGTCGCATGTCATTGCCGCAGTTGCACTCGCAATGGACACATGCGGAGCGGTGCGGTGCGCGGCGCCGGCATTCGCAGCGAGTGTGTTTGTTGCACAGTTTGCTGAAGACAGCGCACAAGACGAAAGTCAGCGAACAGCAGCAGCTGAAATGCAATTGCAAATGCTGTTTGCAACATGAGCAAGCAGTGAGCAGTGCTGGGGAGGGGGTGTGCTGCAGACGGTCGGTAATGATAAAATATATTTGTTAAATCAAGAGCAGTCTAAGCTTAAGAAATTCAAATGCTCTACATATGAGAAAATTTCATAAAGGCATCAATTCTATTTATACTATTGACTTTATCTAAAATGTATATTAAATTTGTTTTTATATGAAAAAAAAAGATGTAAATTAAAAAGTTTTAAATATTTAATATAATAAAGTTAAATATTTTATAATATTTATTGTAATATTTTTTACTTTTTTATATTATTAAATAAAAAAGACTTAATTACCAACACAAGTCCCCACTTCTTATTTTACGTATTTTTTTTATATATATATTTATCGTTAAATTTCCTAATATTTTTTTATTATTTATTATTAATATTATAATCACATTTATTAATGTTTGTATTTATTGTAATATTTATATTATAAATATTAAATTTTTAAATAATAAGAAAGCATTTGCATTTTATACCAATATATATATTGCAGTATTGAAGTCACGGAATAATTACCCACTTTATAATTATTTCTAGAATATATTTTTATTATATTTTATTATTTATTTAAGTTTATTTACATTATATTTTATAAAATTTAATGCATTAGTTATATTATTAAATATTATTACATATTTCTATTTCCAATATCTATCCTCAACTAATTCTGCTTTGATTATCAGCCTTTATCCTGACTAGCGCTTCCACAGCATTCAAATTAATTCAATTAGTTGTCAAATCCTAACTTCGTATATGGTAAAGCCAGAGTCTTGCGAACCGCATTAATCGAACTGTAAAGTGAACAGCTGCAAATTTCTGCAATATTTCGGAAGCCCTCTTAATAATCATCTTAATTTGCTGCTGCTGCCACGAGAAGAGCATTTTAATTGTGGCGCAGCTGCGGCTGTCGGCTGGCTCTGCCAGTGTCTCACATTGTTGCCGCATCATTGTTGTAATTGCAGCCGCCGTGGCTGAGCTGCCCCACTCCAACTCCACTCCCTGATCTGCAAAGCATGTGCTCCGCTCATGTCTTCGCTTTCACATGGCTGGCTTTTGTTTTAACACAACTAATACAATTGCACCGTGGGGAAATGTTGCCTCTGCTCCTTCGTCGTTGCTGCTGCAACGTCAGCGGCGTTGATTTTATTTGCCAGCGAGCGAAGCTGGAAAGTGGAGCCTCGCCTCGGCATTCCCGGCCAGAGTGACAGAGAGCGAGAGGCAAAGAGAGAGGGAGAGCGCCGACATTGTTACTAACTTAATAAAGTTGTCAAAGGTACAAAGTAAGCGGCGTGTTAGCAACTTGCCACGCCCACTGCAACAGCCGCTGACGTTGCATTGTTGCTTGATTTTCATTTGGGGATTTGCCGTCTTCAGTCTGAGTGATTAATTTCTTGGCTTGATGTGATTTACTTACAACTGCAGTCACTGCCGCATCTGCCTCTGCCGCTGAGCACCACCGAGCGCCACCGAGCACCACCGAGCACCATCAACGAGCAGCGCAAAGCGAATCACTCTATTAATGTCATGCATTAAGTTTTGCCCTGCGTCTTCTAATTGACTAATGGAGGCTTAGGGCGGCTTTTGACAGCCAGACCCTTTGAGATTTATGTGCTTCTAGCCGCTGTTGGGATACATAAAAAGCGCCTGCTCCCGCAGCCAGACAAAGTCTGTTGACCTTAAACCTGAGCCATGACAACAGCAACCAACAGCTGCGGCTATAAATAAGTTGCAGCCTGCCAAGCGCCACAAAGTATGCAACAATGGCCAACGACCAAAGATGCAACCATAAAAACGACGCATCTGAGAATTGTAGGGTATCTCTGACTATACGACAGCTGCATAGAAATAAATGAAAATCATATATCAGAGAACACATTTCATTCGAGTATTTATTGGTCTAGACAAACTCTGAGCCACTTCTCACATTTATTTATTTATTATTTTGTCAGATTAAAATTTTAAAATAAATAAAATATATTCGACATTTATTTGTATTTTTTTTTTTTTGTTTTTTACAGCAATAATATAATTTAATACCTTATGATAAAAATAAAGTGTTTATATGTTTACATATGTTTCTATTATTTATTATTTTATTTGTTATATTCTCAAAGATTTTTGTATTATAAAAGACCACAATAGATATATTTATATAAATTGAAAATATATTTTTTTTATTATGTTTTTTATTTTAACTATTTATTTTATTTATTATTATTTAATTTTAATTAAAAAAAAATTAAATTAAATATTTTTTTTTTTTTTAATATTTATTTTCCTTATTTATTTTATTTATTTATTATTATTATTATTATTTATTTAATCGAAGACCAAATATTAAAGATTAATTTTTGATTATTTGTTTATTTTTGTAAATATATCTTTCCATTCTAATAAAAACAATTTACACTAATTACAATATTAAATCACACGCTTGACTTCAACTGAAATTTTCTTTAAATCTGCAGAGTATTATGAGCTCAAGCAGAGTATAACATTTTGTCATAGCTGTCGCGTCGCATGAGTGTTGGTTGCCCAGATGAAACTTACAACCGCAAGCTTTATGTCTGGCCGTTGTCGCCTTGGAGCATATTGCACAATAAAAGCTAGCAAATTGCGCGTAGACAAAAGCTTAGCCCAGCCTGGTGTTTAAAGGCCGAGCTGCAGTTGGGGTCGTGGAGCAGTTGCAGCACGACGTGTGCACAAATAGTGCGACAAATTTTTACGGCAAATAAAACCAAGCGCAATCGATAGATGCGAAATGTCACAGAGATTGCAAAGTCGTCGGATTTTCCTTGTTTTTTTTCATTTTTTTGATAGCACAAACAAGTGCAGCAATCAGGGAGGGTAGACAGTGGAGGGAGGGGAAGAGGAAGAGCGAGCAAAGACGTGCCTGTCATATTTGGTGTGTGCAATACGCCAAATGGCAGCTGTTGACAGCCAATTTGGTGGATTTTTTTTGTATCCAGCGATGGCATTTCTTAACTTACGCGTATGACGGCGTACAATATTGAATTTAATTTTCGTATAGTACAAACAGCAGACAGCGAACCCAACAACAGCGAACTGCTAGTCAACACATTGGCAGCAACAATGTTTGCATGCGCCGCCCACAAGAATGCAACGCTTTTTACCAAAACCAACGCACACACAGACACACACACACACAAAAGCATACAAGGCATGCAGACACTTACACCTGGGCCAGGTGCTGGCTGGAAGCGTCAGTTAACTGCCAAGCCAAGCCGCAGACCAACAGCCGAAGCACGTACACAAAGTGCTGCTGTTATTGTTGTTGTTAGTGTTGCAGTTGCTGTTGTCTTTGTTGTTGTTGTTCTTGTTGTTGTGTTAGTTTCAACTATTATTTGCCCATCAACAACTTGGCCTGCCCACTCGTTGTTGCAATTTACACTGCACAAGAGCAGCACGAGCAACAACAACAACAACAACAACAGCAACCACAGTGCAAACAATACGGAACAACGGCAACTGTAAAATAAACAAGCTGAGCAAAGTAAGTACAAGTCGAGCACTGCACAGATGTTTTGTTGTTTATATACAAATAAACATACATATACATATATATATATATATAGTGCTTGCCTCAAGTTCTGCATAATGACTTTCTGATGAAGTTATTATGATAAATAAAAACTATATTGTTAAGATCACAAACAAGCAAGGCAGCTTGCTTTCATTTTAATCGATTTCAATTAAATTGAAATATTTATCAATCGCTGCTCATATTTCATTTCATGCTGCTGTGACAGTTTTCATAATTCGATTCGATATTTACATTAAATTCAATATAGCGTTAAATAAAAAACTTGACTTAATGAAATATATTAAATTTGTTCAATGAAGTCCTTTTGATAAAATTCTGCAATAAAATTTGGCATCGTTTGCCATAATTCCTTTGAGCTCCAACGTTGCATACACTTTTTCTGCAACTCTCCGTGTTGTGTAATTTTTGTTTTCTTCTCTTTTCTTTTTTTTTTTCTTTTTTCTCTGCGTAAAGTTTAATAAATTTCAACGTGTGCGTGATGCATACTATCATCCACACAGTTTTTGCCGGGCTGCCTCGGAAAATGCTCTCGACTGCGGCCGCTGGCAGGCAAAGCGGTTATAATTGCATTACGCCGAAAGGTAGACTAGCTTTTTGCCCAACCTCCCGCCCCCAACCACGTCGACTGTTTGCACTTGCAATTACAACTCAATAACTTTTGCCGGCTGGTTGTTAACTTTTGCGCCATGTTTGTTAATTTTGTTGCAGTTTTTGGCTCTTTGCCGCTGCCCCGACTCCTGCTGCTGCTGCCAACCACCAGCTGTTTACTCTCTCTTTCTCTCTCTCTCCTATTTTTTTCTTTCAATTTAACTCGTTAGTTAAAGCACGCGCAGCAGCCAAAAAAAAAGTGTGTGTAATTTGCATTTGTATAATATTTCGCTGCAACTCGTGGGCGTTGCCACAGCGCACAAAATTGTAATTAGAAGTCGGCCACAAAAAAAACTGAAGCCCGTACGACTTTGTCGTGGGCTCGTTAGGGCAGCAGAGGGCAGCAGGTCCCCTGACGGATGAACTCTTAAAATGCTTTTGACATCAGAAACTATCAAATAATAACGATTATCCTATTTGCATAATGCGGCATTTAAACGACAAATAAGCAGAAGCACAAAAGCCAGACACAGAATGGAAATGAGAGTAGCTGAGAGACAGACAGAGATAGAGCAAGAGAACGAGAGGGAGAGAGACGAGAAGAGCTGACACTTGAGACGTCTGACAGGAAGATAGAGGACAGCGTCCGATGGGTATGAAAGAGATAGAGAGAGAGAGAGGGAGAAAAGGAGAGCGGCCAGCGGGTACAAAGGACAAACGCAGTGCAGGCGGCAATAAAAAGCAAATAAGAATATTACGGCATAAATTATGCAGGGAAACTATGAAATACCCTGTAATCTACTAAGAAAGTAAAAATTCCTTAAAAATAGAGAAAACTAAATTTTAATGCTGATTTATAGTTTAAGAAAGTAAAATTAAATTAGATATAAAGAAAACGAAATTTAATAACTGATTTGTTTTTTTTTTTAGTTAAATAAATTATCTATTTATTGTTTGATTTATTTATTTATTTTTTCATTATTCATTCAATCATTTCGTTTATATTTTTCTCTAAAACTATATGTAATTTTCTTTATCGTAGAAATTCTATTATTTTAATAATTTCATATTGCCGACCGGAATGACATTTAATTGTTTATTTATTTATTTATGTTTATTTATTTCTTTTTTTTTTAATTTAATTTTTTTTTTTTTTCTTTTAAAATTTTGTAAATCACTTTAAAATATTGAATTTGGTTTTAGTTTCTATATATTTTTATATAATATTAAATACTCAATTAATTCTTCAATCATATTTATGTCACCTTATTTTTTTTTTTTTTTTTTTTTTTTTCATTTCCTCTCATCTATTGCGAACTGTTTATAGCAAAACAATTGGAATTTGGTGCCAACGCACTTGTTTCACAGCTAAAATACCCACTAACTAGTTCCACTATCTAGTGGGTAGAAATATTAAAATGCGAATGCTGCGAGACAGCTTAAAGGACCCAAAGGAAGCGCTAGTAGCTAACGGGCCGCACAAGAATGCAATTAAAGTCAAAAGCTGCAAACAAGTTGGCAGCTCCGACAGTTGCATTTAGAGTCGGCAGACATTGGGAGATGATGTGGAACGGTAGCGATTGTTGTCACTTACCTGGCCATTCTTGTACCACATGCTGGAGGATATGTCCAGGTCGACCTCGCACATTAGCCTGATCTCCGAGTGCTGCTCGGCATAGACCACCGACATCTCCTCGTCCTCGTAGGGATTGGGCAGTACCGGGCGCAGAGGCAACGCCCGCGGACCCTCCAACGGCCCCTCGTCGTCCATCAGTTCCGCCTCGTCGCGACTCTTGGCAAACAGATCGCGCGTGGCGGTGCCGCTATCGAACTCCTCCACATCGTCGATTATGATGACGGGCTCCTTGGGCTTGGGTTTTAGATCTTCCGGCGCCAGATGCACCGTCGACCGAGCGCGTTTTGCCTTCATCGTAGTCAACAGCCCGGAGAACGTTCGGTTTGCGTACGTCGTGGCGGTGGCACTGGTTGCCACTGTGGTGGCACTGGACATGACCGTGGGCAGCTCCAGCTCCTCCTCCTCCGTCTCCCGGCGCAAACGCGGCTTAGCCTCCTTGTGCGGGGCTGCCCGATGCGCCTGGTGCACACGATGGCTCTTCAGCTGCGCCTTCCACTTGGCCACCTTTGCCTTGGCGCAGTTCTTGGCACACTTGGAGGGCGCACTGCTGTGCCCCACCACCGGCTTATGGTCAGCTGCCAGCTGACGCATTCTCTGTGCATCTGCCGCTAGCTCGAGCGAACTCTGCACCGGCTGTGGCCTCTGCTCTGATATGCTGCGCCATTTGCTGGCTGCGTGCTCGGCGGGTGTCGTCTTTGGCAACGACTTGGCATTGATATTTTGTTGCAGTGTATAGGTGGTGCCTGCAAGAACAAAAGTCAGTGGAATGTATGAGAAATTATTCTAATAAAATTTAATTACATGTAGGATATAAAGCTTTATTATAAATATATTTAATTTTTTTTTTTTTTTTTTTTTTTTGACAAGAGGCTTACATGCTATCTCATTGTCTTTCTCTAATAAGGCCTTGGATTAGGCTCAGCAAGAACTATATTTGTCTCCCTCTCGTGTAGTGCCTAAATATACTAAGAAGCGTGATGTCAAATTAAGCAGCTTTGCAACACTAGTCTGTTAATTAGATGATCTCTTGCTGTTAGACAACAGACTGTTCTTTTGCAATATCAAATTACATTATTATTATCATTATATTATTATTTTATTTTATTTTGTAGTTGTTGTATTTTATTTTAAAATATATTATTTTATTTATTTTTTTTTTTTATTTATTTATTTATTTTTTTTACTCTTATAATGAGTTATTATTATTATTTTATTTTAATATAATGATTTGTATTATCGATATAACAATTAAAGAAGTCAAGTGTCCTGTTAAATGAGTCTACTAAAACTCTACTGTTCCTATGAGCCTTAAGTTAGCTGCTGGAAAAATATATAAAATCTGTGAAGAGCAAATGTTTATGGATAAAGCAAGATGCTCTGAAATATTATCTCTAACCAAGCCGAAGCGACTATTAGCCAGTGCTTTAGCCGAAGTTTTTACAACTATCAATTATTCCTAATTACTACATATAATTGACTCAGAATCTAAACTAACTAAATTATGAAATCTTTTATTATCCATACTCGAGTTGCATAGAAAATGAAGTAATAAGTTAATGCTCTCTCCTTCTGTTAAAAAAATCAATAACAGTGCGAAATGCCTCAGATTCCTTTGTCAATCTATGGACTCGCATAGCTGTGAATCATTGACCCAAATGCGAACGCATGAACAGTTCAATTTACAGGTATCCAACAGCTGCCTGGCAACAGTGCCTGCTGGGACAATGGGACAGAGGAGGTCGCCCGGCATACCCGACCGAAAGTGATGTAAAAATGCCAATGGCAATACTTTGGGAATGGGAGTATCAATTTCATTGCACTGTAACGTGTAAATATCGCATAGCACATGCGCTTACAAGGCTCATGCATTTATTTATGATATTTGAAAGTGGTCTCCCCCTGCTCCCCCTCCCAAGGGCTTGGGCCGAGCTGCATTTGGGCTGGGCAGATTGAGACTGCTGGCTAGAGAAATGTGTTGCTCTATGTATGCAAATCCTTTGCTAATCCTTTGCCATGCAAAGCAATTTTCAAGCCTAACTTTTGTTCGGCTGCCAGCCTCCTCCCACAATGAACTAGACAACGTAGTCGAATGTACTCAAACTCTGAGACTGTTGTCACTTTGGCAACTCTGGTTATTGTCTGGCTGCTGCTGCTGCTGCTGCTGCTACTGCTGTTGTTGATAAATTTACACAAGTGTATGACAAGCTTTCAAATGGTAATTAATATTCATCTGAGACGGGGACCATCAGAAGACAACGCGCTGCGTAGCTCGTTCCCAGTCACACGCTCTCTGCTGTCTTCTCTGTCTGGTAACCATTTGTCCACACCACACACACGCACACACTCACACACACACACGGGGAGTCAACTAGGCGCATTGGCTGGCAGTGTGGTTAGCTGACAAAAGCAGTGGCAACTCCTGCTGGTTGCAACCCTATTCTGTTTTGGGCTCCACGGCCATTGTCATTGTCTTTTGTCTCGGCCCTTTTCTGGTTTGGGGGCGGTGTTGCTATTCTTTTTACAGGGGGCGGGGCGGGGCGGTGCGGTTAGGCGTGTGTTTTTCCTGTTGCTGTCGGTGTTTGTAGCTAAATTAAAGTTGTCATTTCTCAAGTGAACGCACAAAAGTATGCAATGCGCCTAATAAATTTGCACTCAGCAACGCTGGCAACCCTGGCAATGCGCTCTCTCGCATATCCGGGCTAAGGCACTATAGGCATAACTTAACAGTACGAGCATGTCATTTGCACAGCAGGCGGTAGGCGTGTACTTGTATGTATGCGTGTGTGTGTGTATAAAGACTTACAGCCACACACACACACGCACACACACACGCGCAGAGCGAACACTCACCCAATTCAGAGAGGACAGGCAGCGTTAAAATGTTTTCACAACAGCTTAAAAGTCTGCTACACTTTTTGCATAGGCAGCCAGCCAAGTGCTATGTCTGTCCATGTCCACGTGTGTGTGTGTGCGTGCGTGTGTGTTTGTCTTGTTTGTTTACATGCAGTTGTAGTTGTTGTTTGTGCTGTAACTTAAGTTGTAAATGAAGATTGCGCCGGAAATTGCACAAAACTGACAGCGTCTTCGCTGTGCGAGAGACTCGGCTACCCTGGCCCAATCCTTGTCCTCACTGTGCTCGCCCCCATCACCGTCACCATCCCTCCCCACCCCGTAAAGCTCTTTATGTGCGTGTAAATTTAATGAAGCTGCCACCCATGCCAGCGAGTTGCGAGTTCCTAAAGAAAAGTGGGCGTGGCACTAGCTCATGCATTTCGAGGGCGTTGCAAATTTCTCTGGCATACACGAAATACGTTGCATACGTTGCGGCGCATAAATTGCGTGCACTGCTCCGTATAGGGCCACTGTTGCTACGGGGGGTGGGTTGGGGGAGGCCCGCTCGCCCACAAAACTGCTTGCAATGTTGTTGTTTGGCAGTTAATAAAATTGTTAGTTTTGAGGCTAAACTTGTTGGCAGCATGTTGCTCATTAGGCGGCTGAACTTGGCAGTCACAAAACTCCGGCTGCTTGCAGTGCTGATTGGATAGGTAATACACACATATCGAGGCGCATTGGCACGGAAAGGCAGCCGCAATAAGTTCGAATATTTACCGGCACAACTTTATTTCTTGTTAAGTTGGATTACAAACTTGACTATGAGCTAACGATCAATTCCCTCAATATAAGGAGACTTCGAGCAAGTCAATTTACTAGCCAGCTCACCCACTAACCTTCTCCAAATATGTATATATTAAGACAAGCAGATTATCTATGACATGACGATGAAGCGATGAGTGGCTTCAAGTAATACTATACTATACAAATTAAAAAGATCTATCGATGTTACATAAATATTATCTAAAATATATATGAATTAAAATAAATAAAAAAAAATAGATAAAAAAATAAAATTAAAAAAAATTGAATGCACAAAAAAAAGCTAAACAATATTTAAATTAATTAAACAAAAAATAAAATAAACAGTTAAAAGGAAACATAAATAATATTTTCTAAACTGAATCATGCAAACAAAAATTAAATAAAAAATTAAATTATAATATACAAAAAATCAATAGATTCAGGGAATAGAAAAAAGAGCACAGTACAGTTACATAAACATTTCCTAAGTTTACATAAATGGGGAAAAAATGTAATTACATTAAAATAAAATGAATTAATAAAACACTTAAAAGAAAATATAAAATTAAAATATAAAAAAAAAAAAAAAAAAAAAAAGAGAGAGCTTACTATGTTACATAAAAATGTTCAAATTTATATGAATTAGAATGAATTTATATAAATTCTTTTGGATAAATGTAGATTTTCTAATTATGTTAATCATATATCACATAAGCTCTGAAGTCCAACATTAACTTGATGGTATCGATATGACATATAACTTTCTTTTCAGAATAAATTTGAATGAGAATATGTATTTTCTTGAGTTTTGCGCTTCATTTTTTATTATGGTAATCAAATCAATGCAATTTTGCTGTAATTGCAATATTTGAAAAAATCATGCCATAGAGCGTTTCACATGGGGAGAGAGATAGAGAGAGAGAGAGAGAGAGAAAGCTGCGCACTAAATGACAATTATGACCAGTCCACAGCTTGTGCACTACTATATATGTATATACATATAGATTTATACAGTGCTTATCATAATTATAGCCCACCCTGCAACTTAAACTTTGAGCCCGTTGTAACAAAATTTTTAAGGTTTTTTTAAAATAAATTTTACAGCACATTATAGACTTGAGCATGTTCAGTAGATTTTATCAAAATTTTAGTTCAATTTATGGAAAACTAAGAAAGAACCGTTAACTTTTGCTCTGTGCTAGCATTTTTGCTTGCATTTTTGTGTATCATAATTATAGCCCACTGTCGCAAATTTGAATTTATTAAGTGCGGAACAGACTTTTGGCTTTACAGACATTGTAATTAAGTAAATTTAGATGGTTTTTAAGAGATGCCGCTTGGAAAACAATTATCTTATTATGAAAAGGGCCGTATTTTCTCTCTTTTCGAGTCAGGAGAGTCTATTTCGAGTATTTTACAAATTTAAAAAAAAAAAAATCTAAGTGTAATTAAAATTTTTTTGGATAACCCCGAAGAATAAGGATCAAGAAGGCGCACTGGGTGAAAACCGTTACTAATTGCGCACGATAAACGCAAAATTTTTAAGAAAACCAGCAACAGCTCAACCGCTTGTACAGCTTTGGCCTCACATGTGGGCGAATCTATGTCAGCGATGACTGTTTGGCGAGTACTTAAGAGCTCAGGAATCATAAATAGGTCTAAACTGATCAAAGCATCCATGTTGCTAAGTCGCCACAAGGTTGCTCGACTTGGTTTTGCCGATGGACATACTGCGACCGATCTGACATACGCGCGTTTGAATCATCGTCTTTTGGCTTACAGTATATTTATAAATTTTTACCCTAACAGGTCGTATTTTCTGATGGGAAGAAGTTTAACCTGGATGGTCCTGATGGGTTTGATACTTATTGGCATGATTTGAGGAAGGATCCTATGTTTTTTTCAAGGACAAACTTTGGAGGTGGCTCCGTCATGATTTGGGGTCCATTTTTTTCATTTGGTACCTGAGAATTGAAGTTTGTAACGAACCGAATGAACAGTAAAGAGTATATTCAGGCTCTGGATAGTAGTCTTAATCCATATTTAAGGGAATTACGTGAGAAACCAATGGTTTTCCAACAGGATAATGCTTGAATCCATGTGAGCA